CCGCGGCGGACGGGGGACCGGCGCCGGGATCGCACCCCCTGGCGCTGCCCCCGCGCCTCGCTCAGCCAGCGAGCGGGAACCGGTCTGTATGTGGGATCCGAACCCTCGGGCGGGAGCGCCGCCGCGCTTCCCAAGCGGCGCACCATCCAGTGCGCCACCGGGCCGGCCCAGAACTGACTTTTCTAATGAAGACCAGAACTTCAGAGTTCTCAAACAAAAGGAAAGCATGTTCTTCGTGTTAACTTTAAAAATTTCATTCCAAACCTTCTCAATCTACTTATGCCAACAAGAAAAGGAGGTGACACTATTACATTGAATTGTTTTTAAATTGTTTTTCATGTGGTTAGATACATGCTTCTCATGTCCATTCATACTGTACATAAGTCTTGCACACAGTAAATGTACATGTGGATGCAAAAAAATTCATAACTATTATGAACTCATAATTCACCAAAATTAGATATTTTGCTCTATGAAAAACCATATTTAAGAAGATTAAAAGACAAGGTACAGACTGGGAGAACATGTCTGCGAACCACATACAAGAGTACTTCAAAAAGTTCACAGGAAAATAGAATTGAAAAATAATATGAATCTTTCCATGAACTTTTTGAAGGAGGCTTGAATATCTCACAAAGGAGTCAGATCTAGAATATATAAAGAACTCCCAGAATTCAACAGTAAAACAAACAATTCAATTAGAAAATAGGCAAAAGACATGAAGACACATTTCACTGAAGATGACATATAGATGGCAAATGGCACATGAAGCGATATTTAATGTCACTGGTCACTACAGAAATGCAAATTAAAGTCACAATGAGATATCACCTATCAGGACAGCTGAAGTGAAAAATAGTGACAATACCAAATGATGATGAGCAGGATGCAGAGGAACTCTATCACTCCAACATTGCTGGTGGGAGTGTAAAATGGCACAGCCACTTTAGGAAACAGTTTGTCAGTCTCTTAAAAACTAAACATGCATCTACTGCACCATCCAGCAATTGCACTTTTGGACATTTATCCCAGAGAAATAAAAACTTGTCCACACAAAAACATGAACACATTACTCATAAAAGCTTTATTGTAATCGCCAGAAACTGAAAACAACGAAAATATCCCTCTATAGGTGAATGACTAAACAAACCTGTGAATCTATACCGTAGAACATTACTCACCAACAAAACGAATTGAACTATTGATGCAGGCAACTTGGATGGCTCCCAAGGGCATTACCCTGAGTGAGAAAAGCCAGCCTCTCAAGGTCACATACTATATAATTCCATTTATATAACATTCTAAAAATGACAAAATTATAGAGATGAGGAACAGATTAGTGGCTGCCAGGGGTTAGAGGTGGGGGGGGAGGGGTAGGAGTGAGTATAAAGTAGAGGTATGAGGGCAATGTTTGAAGTGAAGGAACAGTTCTGTATCAAGGTCGTGGTAGTGTTTACACAAATCTACCCACGTGATAAGTGACAGAAAACTGTGTACACATATAGTACCAATGTGAAATTCCTGCTTTTGATATTTCACTATACTTATGTAAGACATAACCATCTGGGGAAACTGGGTGATCGGTACATGGGACCTCTCTATACAATCTTCACAACTTTTGGTGAATCTACAATTACTTCAAAATAAAAAGTTAGAGAAAAGTATGATGCACTGATTGTGGGCATCAGAATTACCTGATACAATTGTTAAAATATATGTTTCTGAACCCCATTATAAACTCACTGATTTGATTTTTTCTTTTAAAATTTTTAATTGTAAAATACACATAACATAAAATTTACCACCTTACACATTTTTAAGTCTGCTGTTCAGTAGTATTAAGTACATTGACATTGTTTCACAACCAGTCTCCAGAAGTCTTTTCACCTGCAAAACTAAAGCTCTACACCCATTAAACAATAACTGTCTACACCCGGAAGTCCTTTTCTTAGACTCATATCTTCCAGGAACTTGGTAGAGTCCATGTTTATATAACAAGGAGGCTGCTGGTAACAATGATTATCCAACCTATTGATAGCAGCTGCCATTGCCCAAGCTGTGTGACAGTCACATGCGCCCCCTTCTCATTTAGTTCTCACAATACTCTAAAATTTGAGTTAAGATATCTATCCCACAAATGAGGCAACAGACTCAGAGAGGTTAAAAGACAATTCACACAGCTTAGGTTCAAACTCAGGACTGCTGTGCTCCCAGAATCTGCCACACCACTGCCATCATTCTGTCCAGGTTCTTTGTGACCTTGGCTTCAAGCTTAACCACAGGTGTCTTTTCCTTGTGGTTTCAGAAACAGAGACCCAGAGGGACAACTTCCTGGTAATAACCCTTCCAAAATGTCACAATTCTGGAGCTCTACCTTAGCTTATGAACATCTGTAGGGCTTTATTAAGATTTCTTCTTGTTTGAATTTTTAATGTTCTGAAAATATGGTTTCTAGTTACTGCAAGAGTTGGCAGCACAATAGAAAAACGAAAAGGGACTTTCCTTTCCCAAGTTTGCTGGTTTGTCTGGGCCATTGTCCCACTAAGACAGGAAGAAGGAAGAGATGAGGGAACGGATGAAGATTTACTGACTGACAGCAGAAAACACTGTCAGATATGTATGCAAAGAGTTTCCATTTTTTTTCCTCTGAATGATCCTGCACCCTGAAATACACACCGTTATTTGGATTCTCAGTGCAAGTCCACTAACACACTATCCTAATGAGAACATTTCAAAACTATTTTTCAGGCATTGATGCATTTTTAAAAGAGAAAACCCAAGTATGCTGTCCTTGAAAACAAAAGCTACAGATTACACATCCACTAAGGCAGCTCATTAAACTTATTTTAAAAACCCTTGAAATTTTGAATATAGTGCAGGAGATGGTTTAGGGGGTAATTTAGTGGTTTCTTTCACTCAGAGAACATCTGAGAACATTTTGTCTAATAATAAAGAGCAAAGTACATGCAGTTGTGTAAACCGCAAATGCTCCACCAGTGCGTGAGCGAAGAAAGAGATCATGGTTTGAAAAAAATACCTTTCTGTTATCTGCCCCTAAGCTATTCCCCGGAGTTCCGCAGAGGTCTGTAGCGTGGGCACAGAGCGTGGAAAGAGGCAGTCCTTCTTGAACAGGGACTGCAAATATTCCGTGTGAGAGACATTATCTCAAATGAGTGTAAAAAGAACATATGTACATTACGTGTGCTTGCAATCGCAGAGGGGAGGTCCCTTGCTGTTGCTTTTATTTTTTATTTTTATTTTTTTTCTACAGAGGAATCCCAGAAGTGTCTAGCTCTGAAGCTCTGCAGAGCTTGACACAGAGCCCAGGGCTGATAGGGGATGCCCCAGCTCTCCAGCGAAACCAGATGCGGGCCCCAGGCATGGGTGGGAGGAGATGAATTAAAGGCGATTCCGAAGTTTCGGAGAACCTTAGCAAAAATCAAAGGATATGGGAACAAACAGCCCCGACGTGAGTATATTAGGTCAAGAGCAGCAGTTATATTGCAGTGTCTGGAAAAAGAGGCAAAGCAGGGAGGTGAGCGCGGGAAGCGCTTGGGAAGGGAAGAGGAGCAGAACCGGGAAGGGTGCTTTCAGCCTGCACTTCTCCAACTTGAACGCCGCCGTGAATCACCCGACGATCTCCTTAAAACAGATTCCCATCCCCTCCGTCGGGAGTGGGACCTAAACGTCTGCATTTCTAACAAGCTCCCACCTATTACAGCTGCTGCTGGTCCAAGAACCAACCTTTGAATAGCAAGGGATTTGTACAAAGAGGTGAAATAATTCCGGGCTAGAGAAGGGGCTTTCTGAAGAAAAGTATAAACTTCTGGGGTAGCAGCGACCTCAAAAGGGGCGACGATGGAAACAAACTGGATGGGTAGTGACAGGGTCAAAAACTGGGAGGAAGGACCACGGTCTCAAAGCCTTTATTCTGAGGAGGGTCTCAGGAGGAAAGGGAAGGGAGGCGCTCGCCATCTAGTCTCTGGAAGAAAACGTCGCAAGGATGGGCTGGGGGCTCTTTGGGGAGGGTAGGAAACTCACGCCTGGACACGGTAGCCTGCGCTGGGACGCGGGGGCGAGGGTCTCCCCCGGGCCGGCCAGCCCTTACCTGTGCTCCCCTTGGTCGGTGTAGACGTTGAGGAAGAGCCCCTCCCTGATGTCCCGGTACACTTGACCCGAGAAACTGAGCTGCAGCTCGTAGTGACTACCAGGCTGCAGGGCCTCGCCGAGCTCCAGCACCAAGTATTGCGTATCCAGCGTAAACCACACGTCTTCTACAGGCACGCGGCCCACGGTGGCGTTCAGGGTGCCCGGAGACAAGGGACCTCGCACCTCGGCGTGCTCGCAGTCCAGGAGGAGGCTGTGCAGCAGCAATAGCTTGGTGGCCACCGTGCAGCGCACCGTGATGTTCACGCGGCCGGTGAAGTGCAACGACGGCGCCGAGAGCTCATCGGGCCGCAGCCGGGGCCACAGCTCCAGCTCGTAGTGCAGCGGCACGAGCCAGGACGGCAGGCGCAGCTGGTCCCAGGGCCCCGGGGGTCGCCAGTCGTGCGGGGTGCTAGTCACCGTCGGCTCGTGTGCACGGCCGGGTGTCGGGGACGGCGTTGGCTCCTCCTGCCTGCGGGGAGGGGAGGACGCGGCGTCCGGGACCCCGAGGCCAAGCCGTTCAGACGGCGGGGCGTGCGCGCAGTGGCCGTACAGGGCGGCGAGCACCGCCAGCGCCAGCAGGAGCGCAGCCGCCAGCCCCGCCAGCAGCAGGACCACTGCGCGGCTCACGTAGAAACCGGAGCTGGAGGGGGGACCCATGGCGGGGACCGGGGAAGGGCGCGAAGTGGGAGCCCAGAGTCGGCGGCAGCGGCTCAGATCCCCGCCGGGGTGCTCAGTGATGGGACCCCCGCCCCTCTTCTCTTACACCGTCTCTCCTCCTCCTCGAGGAGCCTGGGAGGACTGGGAGGCAAGAGAGAGTGTTTGGGACCATGGCTTCCCCCTCCCAGCTAATCGGATCCAGGTCCCTGCCTACCCACCCCCGCCCCCTCCAGAGCCGGGGGAAGGGGCGGACCCGGCGCACCGAGGCGCGCGCCCCTTCGAGTTCGAAGGGAAAGACCGCGCGGAAGAGGCTTCCACGCTCGGCGCGGTGGGGCAGCAGGACCAAACTCGAATCTGGACACCTCCGACCGGGATATTTGGATTACTGGGACTCGGTGGGGGGGGGGGGAGACCCCGGTACGGTTTCAGTATTGTGGGAACAGGGACAGGTACAGAGCACCCTCACCTTGACGGCAGCGATGAGCTA